TCTTGCAAGGGATGACATTAGTAAGATGTCCAAACGAATGGAGCTAGAGTATATTGAGTAATCATCTATAGTGGGAACCCAACTTAGTTTTTTGTAGCCTCAAAATTCTAGACTCGATATAGTAAAAACTAGCTGTATGTATGTTTAGTTGGTCACTAGATGAAAAATTTTATAAGAACCTATTGTTAGAAAACCCATACAATGGATAAGTCTAATGATGACTTGTATGTTAATAGGATGACTTATGCTCTGAATGGTGTCTATAGACTATATATATATTGGAGTGTTTTAAATACATGGGCATTCCTGATAACCACACCTACTTAAGTGTGGAAGTGAGGCCGTTTCTTGTGAGATGGGACTTGTCTCTAGAGCACTTATGAAATCGTGATATAAGTACAAGGCCCAAAGCGTGCTGGTAGCTAAAAAGTCACCAGGGTTAAATATTGTTTATGAATTATACTACCAGTCTGTTAGATAAGCAACCTAGTTGAAAGCTATAAGCTATCATGATACTTGATGGACTTTGTAGTGTGCACTCTAAGTGAAAGTTTAAATCGAAAAGATACTTTCATAGTATGCTTCCTATATTTTTCTTATTATTTTGAAATAGTGGAAGAAAATGTTAGTATTTTTTGTTTGAAAATACTTATATGTATTTCAAACCAACACTATGAGTTTATAGCTCTTTCCTAAATTGCTTTGTAAAGAGAGAACGAAGTGGTTTTGAGTCCCACATTGAAGAGGAGAGAGTTTATTGAGCTGAATGTAAGAGCATGTATTCCCATGCAATATACTTTTAATACAAAGGTGAGAGAGATTGTGCATGTGTGGAGCACGTGAAGCGTGTGGCGTGCATGCACACGTACACATGTGTGTGCAAGGATGTGGGCACAAGGGCACTTGATGGTGTGCTTTGCACTTCGCACACTTGCATCGGCACATGAGGCTCCCCTCTCCGAGCATGGGTGTGGGTCGGACTCGTAGCTTGTTATTTTTTTGTAAGCTCGGCTCGTATAGATATCCAAGGGTCATCTAGCCATTGATGAAATGGAGGCAAAAGGAGGTTGTAACAATAGCCATCAAGAGAGTTACATGTAAGATGTACTCTTGGTGGTGCATGTAATCACCAATACAAGTGAGTTAAGGGGCTGCATGTAACTTGTAGTTGTTGGTGGTGCATGTAACCACCACTACGGTAAATGTGATACGCCCTTGTGTCTCTGTAAAATGGGGTCTCTCTCCCATGATAGATGGACACTTGAACATCCTTTTGTATCTCTCTTAACACACCATTCTTTGTAATTCCAGTGAGAAAAACTAGTGGGCTAACCTCTCTCTCTCTACTCAATTTTGTCTCTTTCTCTCTCTAAACTATCAAGACTCTGGTGTCTAGTGTGTAGGTTCCAAGCTCGGGTGCATAGAGCTTAGGAACATTGAAAAATGCCTCTCTGTTTTGTTGTATCTCGATGACGATTTGCCTTCCTTATAGCCCTGAAGGGTGCAAATAATGTCTTAAGATGGCGCTCTTGAATGCTCGAAAACACGAAGGTTTCGAGTTTCGATTTTTGCAATTTATACTACCATTTTGCTCATTTTCACCCACCAAACTTCCAACATTTTTAGTTAGAGAAAGTCTTATTTTCTTGCTCTTGATTTTGGATGGTTTCCTTTTTTAGTTAGAGAAAGTCTCGGTTTCTTCCTCTCAAGGTTATCTTCCTAGACAATGGTTTGGGCGGTTTCTTGCTCTCTCGAAGACAGTGGTTTAGCTGTGGTATATAGATGGATCTCTTTCTGAGCAGTAGTTTAGCTATGCAATGCAAATGAAAGATCGGCTGTTGTGTCGGTCAAAAGAGCAAGGGAAGCTGTTCTGATGGAGATTTTTGGCAGTTTCCCCTTAAAGTCTCGAGCTTCTTCCTATCGATGTTCTCTTCTTAGACAATGGTTTAGCTATCAAGGTTATCTTCCTAGATATTGGTTTACCTGTGGGATATAAATAGCTATGGGATAGAGATGAGTCTCTTTCTAAACAGTAGTTTAACAATGAAATAGAGATGAAAGATCATCGGCATGTCGGTCAGGAGAGAAGGTCTAAAGGATCGTCGGTTGTGCTGGTCGAGAGAGAAGGTCTAAAAGGGTTTGCTCGAATGAGTTTTTTCAAGGTTTAAAGAGGTAAATGTATGTCGCAAAATCTATGGTTGTAATTGGCATGGTAGATTTCAATTTGCGATAGTGGATGTAGTTTTTTTGGGGAGCATCATGTAAATCTTTGTGCTCTTGTGGTATGTGTTTATTTTTCGCATTATGGCTTACTCTCGTCTATTTCGTTTTCTAGCTGGATAAGTATATGTTCTTGGTAGGATCCAACTTTTGGAATTCCTATTTTCATATCTAGAAGGTTATTAAATTCTAACAAAATAAAGATAAATTGAATTTATCATTGATAATTACCACTAAAGATGAAATATCAAGTGGCACACCACCTTAGAAATAAAGGCCATGAGTAGGAATTAACCTCACTAGAAGACCACAATGTTTCGAAGCCAGCTAGACACCATGCACCCTTGGAGAAATCTACATCTTTGTAAACATCACAGCAGCCATGAATGAAGGTGCAATGTTGGAAACCACGAAACTTGAGATTTGGGTTGACCTACTTCATAGAGGGCTTTCCGTGACACGGTTGCCATTACTTGGAAGCACTTGTCTAATTAAAAAAAAAAAAAAAAAAAAAAAGAAAAAAGAAAAGAAAAGAAAGGAGAAAGGGCTGATTCATGTTTCCCAATTCAAGAGCACGGAAAATGACATCTAGAAAAATGAAAGGGGCAATATTATGTGCTATCAATCAGGTTTCCTACAGTTTACGAATACCCCAACAGTCAAATAGAACCAAGTTGTGATTGGGGAATATCCGTCTTCTACTCAAAGTTTCCCCAAAGAAAAAGTATCATGTCCACACGATGTTTACCCTTCCAATGGTTGAGATTTTACAAGGTTATTTCTAGTGGTCAAAAATCAATTTCATCTTTTTATTTTTTATTTTTTAATTAAATAAGATAATTCTTTGAATGTCGGGCTGTAGGTTTATTTTTATAAATATAATTAAATATAAATGATTGAAAAGTATTTTAAATAAAAATAATTAAAATACCTCTGAATTTATTTTGATTAATATTTTATATTTTTATTAGTTTATTATTTTTATTCAATTCAAGTAATAATAATAATTATAATAATAATAATAATAATAATAATAATGATGATAATAATAATAATAATGATAATGATAATAATAATTATTATTATTATCATTATCATTATC